ATGATCAATTCGATGGTGTGTTCCACATTATTAGTAGCGACTATGTACCGTATAATGTAATTATAGGTCATGATTTTCTGAAGGGTGTTATTATGTTAATGAAAGATGGTGCAGTGAGTTTTAATTTGAAAGATGACGAGTGGATGAAGTGTATGATTGTTGATAAGTGTGACCATGCTTCTTTTGTAGGTCCCATGACAGATCCTTAGTTGAAGAAACAAGTGCATCAGTTAATCTATCAATATGGACAACCAGTACAAAATTGAATTCTTGAGAGCCCCCTTTCTCTCTCTCTCTCTCTCTCTCTCTCTCTCTCTCTCTCTCTCTCTGTTTGTCCAAAAAGTTTCATACGATTTGTGTCAATTATTTTCAGATATTCTATAAATAAGGGGATTATTCTGATCTTTATTGACGATATTTTGATTCCAGCTAGCGATGAAAGCCAGGCAGTACAACACTTGTAAATGGTGCTTGAAGTGGCATCTGAATATGGACTGGAGATACACTGGAAGAAAGCTAAACTTTTCCAGAAGGAAATAGAATATTTGGGACATGTCGTCGAGAATGGAGAGGTAAAACCTAGCCCAGAGAAGACTGATGCAGTAGTAAGGTATCCCGAGCCCTGTAATGTCAAGCAAGTGTAAACGTTTGTTGGTTTAACCTCATATTTTCGAAAATATATAGATAACTTTGCATTGACTGCACAGCCATTGACAAATTTGCTCAAAAAGATACTCCTTATTGTTTTAGTGAAGACCAAAGGAAAGGGTTTAATATCTTAAAGTATAAATTATCTAGTAATCCAGTATTAAAGATTTTTAATAGTAGTTTGCCTACGGAATTACACACTGATGCTTCATGTTTAGCGTATGCAGCAATATTATTACAATTTCATCATGACGGATGACATCCAGTTTACTACATGAGTTGAAAGACCAATAATGTGAAAAGAAAGTATTCAAGTTACGAATTAGAGGTACTAGCTATTATTGAAAGTGTATAGGAATTTAGACATTATTTGCATGGAATTAAGTTTAAAATCATTAGAGATTGCCGAGCATTTGAACAATCATTGAGGAAAAAAGATTTGTCAGCTAAAGTAGCGAGATGGGTACTATTTTTAGAGCAATTTGATTTCACTGTGAAGCACCGAGCAGGTTCAAAGATGAAACATACAGACGCACTCAGCCGTGATTGTCCTACAGTGATGTTGATCACCGATATGCATCAACAAATCAAACAAATGCAAGACCAAGATGAGGGCCTCAAAGCTATCAAAGAAATATTGAAGAATGGTTCTTACCAAGATTATTGCATCGAAAATAATTTGCTGTATAAAGGAGAATTGAAACAATAGGTAACACCAAAAACTTTAGAAAAATAAGTAATAAAAAGAACTCATGGCATTGGTCACTTTTTATGCAAGAAAATGAAAGAAATCATAAGTAACAGCTATTACATCAATCAGTTGGATTACAAGACTTCACGACAACATGCATACCATGCTTACTGGCAACAAGAAAATCTGGAAAACAAGAAAGATTTTTACACACTATAGAAAAAGAAATTATGCCATTACATACTTTGCATATCGACCATATTGGGCCTCTAATGGAAACTAAAAAACAGTATAATTACATTTTGAAAATGGTTGATGCTTTCACCAAGTTTACATGGATTTTTCCAACAAAGTCCACAACCAGTAAGGAAACATTGGACAAATTAAAGATTTTTCAACAACATTTTGGCAACCCAGACAGAATAATAACTGACAAAGGTACCGCATTTACAGGAAATGATTATCGAGAGTTTTGCGAAACAGAAGGTATACAACATATCACTATAACAACTGGAGTACCACGTGGAAATGGACAGGTGGAACGTGGGCATCGCACGATCATCTCAGTTTTGACAAAGCTATGTACTGAAGACCCTTCTTTATGGTATAAGCATGTAAGTTGATTACAGAGAGCTTTGAACAGCACATACCTAGTGGTGACGGAGTTAGTGCATGCAATTGAGGGAGGACGGGAGGTGCTCTTCAATCCAGGTAAGACACATCATTGTATTTAGTTAGCGAATGTTGCGTAGTAATTAATATTTTTATTATAATGTATTTCTGCAAGGTAACACCTGATTCTATCAGTTAACCTGAGACTTCTTTACTGGAAACGAGGCATCTAATCTCATGCATCAGACAGATGTAGATGTCTATCGGCCATAGCAACCACTAACAAACAGGGGGACTGTGCTGGTTTGTCACTCTTATTCTATAAAAAAATACTTCCCATTTTTTTTTTACAAAAAATACTGTTTGTCTTCAAAATAACCTTCTTAAAGGCGAATACATAAAGAAATATGCTTGATAAAATTTTCTACAAATATCCGGACTTCATATACGTATATTTCGTCCCATATCTAATTAAGAGTAAGTTATGTGAAAGGAAATTTCCAACTCAATAACTATTTTTATTTGCTTCTTTATTAAGTTCGTATAATAAAATTGTGCTGATAAAAAGATCACTGCAGGCTTCTTTCTTGCTTCCTCAATTCATTCTGCAGAGGGCGCTCACCTTCGCAGATGGTGTTAGTGGTCAAAACAGTAGCATTTAGCTCATCAACTTCTATGTAGAAAGCGTGTCTTTTACAATAATATCATCATCATAATCATCACAGCACATAACAAGTTATTAAATTAAAATAAATAGGTAATAAACTTTATTTGACATAAAACATTACAATAAATATTTCAGTGAATCCATAGGCTCCCAAACTAGTGTAAAACTGTGTTTCAGGAGCAAGTGGCTTCTCCCATAATATTTCACAATTAATTTATGCCATAAGATAAGTGACATTATAAGTTATTAAGCAGAACTACTTAAATCAAGAAAACAAAAATTAATAAAGAAAGGACTACTCACTAGCGCATATCTGTTATGTATGTAGTTGTGTATATTAATGTGTGTGCGTATGTGCGTATGTGCGTATGTGTGTGTGTGTGTGTGTGTGTGTGTGTGTGTGTGTGTGTATGTGTGTGTGTGTGTGTGTGTGTGTGTGTGTGTGTGTGTGTGTGTGTGTGTGTTATTAGTGTCAGTAATAAAAACCAGTTACCATGTTTTCTACATCTTCATTCTTCATATTATACTCCTTATTTAGTCTGTTATATAGGTGTGGAACAATAACATCAAACTTCTGGGCGAATCTTGTTTTTACTTTGGGAATAGGACAACGGTCAAGCCTCGAAGATTATTTAGGCAATTAAGGAACATTTTTTTTTTTGTGATAATGGCGTAGACTTTCGTAAATAAAGGCTTTGTCATAGACAGCTGTTGTGGGATGTCTAAAGGGTAAGGATAATAACACTTTCAGTACTGCACATTGTACACGTTCTGCAGTGATCAAGTACGATTTTGCTGCAGTGCCCCAAGCACATATACAATACCTAATAATGCATTCACCAAGGGCTTTATAGGTTTGTAATGCTAATTTGTAGTCAACAACTGTTCTTAGAGTTTTAAAAACATAGATGAGTTTTCTCAATCTTGTAGACAATGACATTATATACATTTTCCAGTTTATTTTATCATCAATTTCAACCCCAAGGTACTTTATTGAATCTACACGCAACAAAAAGGAACAGTTACACTGGTTAGGTCGACTACTACGATTGCATGGATATGTATGAATTTTAATTCTAACGTCGGCATCAAGTCCTCCTGATGTTGTCTTGCTATAGCACATGAACTTCATTTTGTTGATATTATGGGATAAAAGGTTATTTCTAGCCTATGCGTTACTATAGAGAGACAATCTTCCGCCACGTCTGTCAGTTTTTGCCAATTTTTATCATTGACGAGTAAGGCAGTATCATCTGCAAACATGAGCAAGTCAAGATTAGGGAAATTAATTTTGCACAGATCATTTATATATAAGAGGAAGAGAGAAGGCCCTAGTACACTGCCCTATGGAACGCCGTAGGTGCATGCTGCACTATCACTCTCATGTCCTTCTACCCGTACACGTTGTGATCTTCCGACTAGATAATCTGCGAACCAGTCACGAGCTATCCCCCTGACCCCATATTCTCCAATTGTCCAAAAGGATTGGGATCGAAATGGTATCGAAAACCTTTTGGAGGTCTAAAAAGACACCCATGGACGTGTATCCACCATCGAGGTATGTAGAGATTTTTCTAGTTAGCGTGAACTGCGTCTTCGGTTGATTTACCTTCTCTAAGATATCGAATAAGCCTCTTTTTAACTAACTTTTCTAAAACCTTAGACAGAGTTAAAAGAATAGAGATAGGTCTATAATTTGTAGGATTATGGGGGTCACCTGCTTTATTAATAGGACACACAATAGCTTTTTTGAAAGCTGCTGGAAAATGCCTGTTTCAAGACTCAAATTACATATATGTGTGATAGGATCAGCGAGGAATATTATAAATGTCTTTAGTAATTTTGCTGTGATATTATCCCAGCCAGGAGCACGGTGCAATTTGAGTCCAAAGTCTACATTCCTGACCTCCACGGGATCAGTTGGTGTAAGGGACATAGAGCCAACTGGTGTGTTAGTTTTATTTACCAATAACGCAAGTTTACGATCAGAGGTATTCATCTTCTGTAGGGTATTTTTGCAAGTATTTCACCGACAGAGGTGAAAAATGAATTTACTTCATTCAGCGACTTTGTAGGATGGTTGCTTATACGTATTTAGTAAAGTATTAGAAGGCCTCTTTCAAATTCAGATTTTTAATAATTTTGTTACACATGTTTCTGTGTTTTATATACTTACGGCCTTACTAATAAAGATTTACACACGACGTATACCAGAGTTATAACGTTAAGATTACCAATAAATGACATTTGACAGTTCAGTTGTATACATCTGTTATAACGAGTGTATAAATTGTATGGGAAATTACGCAACCGTTATACAGTTCTCAACCTTTGTTTAAGACGTGTATAACCTCTATTTGACGTGTGGCGTTTTTGAAAATAATGGATTATTTACAATATTTCGATATCTTTGATGAAATCGACCGTGAGGAACCACCAAGAAAAAGAAAAATTTACAAAAAACGTTTCGATCCCCTTATTCTACAAGATAAAGAATTTCGAATGAAATATAGATTCAGTAAAGTATATATGAGAAAAATAGTTGACTTAGTTCAACGTAACATCGAACTACAAGCTAGTGGCGGCGGGCTGTCTGTAGAACTTCAGGTATGTACTGCTCTCAGAACGTGGGCTAGGCAAGAAGTTCAAGATGATGCAGCAGACATTCATGGACTTATCCAACAGTCCATCACGAATATATGCCGAAGAGTAGCTCTTGCTTTGGCAAGTAAAGCGGCGGAATTTATGCGCATTTATACGCATGCCTAGTACTTTAGAAGAGCCAGAACAAGTGGTTTCTGGATTTAGAAACATTTGTGGCTTTAAGCAAGCAATTGGTGCTATTGATTGCACTCACATAAAAATTAAAAAAGTCGGAGGAGATAGTGCTCAATATTATATAAACAGAAAGGGGTTTTCATCCTTAAATGTCCAAGTAGTTTGTGATGCCCAATTAAAGATAAGGGACATAGTGGCACACTGGAGGGGCAGCGCACTTGATGCAAGAATATTTAGAGAAAGCCGAATCCGACAACGATTTGAAAATGGGGAATTTCATGCTCGTTTACTAGGAGATTCTGGCTACGGTTTAACAAATTATTTGTTTACACCAGTCCAGAATCCTCGTATCGCTAAGGAGGAATCTTACAATAAATCACATATATTGACAAGAAATACAATTGAAAGGTGTTTCGGAGTTTGAAAACAGAGGTTCCGATGTTTATTACTTGGATTTAATGTGTCACTGGAAAATGCAAAATTATACATTGTTGCGCTTGCAATATTACACAATATTGCCATTGAAATGAATGAAGGCATTGATTTTCTTGAACCAGTCATATCTGAAGATAATGGTGACCAACAAATGCTAAGGGAAGGTCTCAATAGCCGATCTGGTCAAGAAACAAGGAGATTATTCATTGAAACACACTTTTAGTTACAAAAATGTTTTGTTAATAAATAAAATCAATTTATTTCAGACAGAGTCCATATAAGTGACATACATTATAGTAAATTTAATTTAATCTTATTCAATTTAACCTAATTTTATTGTTTAACATAAAAAACTATTAATTTAACATAAAAAAAGGTAAAAGATATTTTATTGTGGCAATTTTGATTTTAAAAGTAAAATTTCTAATTTAAGTTTTTCAACACGAAGCTGCGTTTCTTCTTTTTCCAATAATATTTTTTGGATTTTTAAATTATGTTCCTCTTTAATAAAACTATGAGCTTCCATCATATTTTTCATTTTTAAATCATGTTCTTCCTTTATGCAACTGACAAGAACATGATTGCGCTCTCTGGTTAAGTCTCTATCCTGTAATAAACATGTTATTATTAATCACAAATCACTAATCCCATAATTTAGTTATACTTAAATTAAACTACTTATTAAAATTAAATTAAATTTTACCTCACGTTTGGTTGTGTGTATATTATCATTCATACGATTGAATGATAATTTCCGTTTCGTTCTATCTTTTTCATTTTGCATCTTGAAAGGTAGTGGTGTAATATTCTGGAATATTAACAAAAGTCATTCAGAATTCAAAAGATACTAATCAAAGTAAATTCAATCAACAAATTTAAACTAACAAACCTCTTGCACATTATCATTATTATCTCCTGGAGTGATAACATACTCTTGTGTTATTGTATTAACCGAGGACTTCTCCTGACTTTGAACCTCTGGATGCTAAAATAAAATAGAATATCACACACTGATGTCATAATCGTAAGATATAACATACTCATTCTGATACTAAACATTGTGTTAGTGCTAAGACAAAATAATTACAAAAATATAGTATGAGCTCACTGTTATGCTGTCACTGTCGAAGACATTGAAATCCGTCTCAAATTCCTGTGGAATCATGCTCAAAATGTCAATGGTTTCCGGGTCAGGGCTAAGAGGTTTAGGCCCTCCACCAGTACATTTGATGGATGTCTTTACTTGTGACATGTTTTTTTTGGCATCAAGTTTCATTGTGCGCCACTGTTGCTTTAATTCAGCCAATTCTCTTACCCTGCTATTCAATTCACTAAAACTGAAAATGTTTCAATCACAATAAGCATAGTTTAATTTATTTATTTAACAGTTTATGTACACACATACTTTGACAGGAAAATGGTAAAAACAAAATTATGTACATAGGCACTGCTTATTCCATAAAGAAATTTCTTCCAGCAGGCCTATTGAAGGATAGTTGAAGGAAATAGAAGTAGTCAAAGTGTGCACTTTATTAACATTAACATATACAATAAAATACAAATTTACAAACCTACATATATATTATACACATACGTACATACATACACATACATATATATACATATACATACACATATATATTATTATATAGTATCATGTGTAAAATATAAAGTTTTCTAACGGAGAGCAGCTTAGATGTTTGGTATAGGGTTTCGGTGGAAAACCTATAGGGCCTACAGTACGAGTACATTACCTTAATCAAGGATATATATAATAATAATATAATAATATAATGACCTCAATTGTGCCTCCCAACGGATAGGCCTTAAGATGAACTTGGACAAAACAAAGATCATGTTTAATGTCCATGTCATACCTATGCCAGTAGTTGTTGGGAGCACTAAGCTCGAAGTTGTTGACGAGTACGTTTAGCTGAGACAAATAGTCCGGCTAGGTAAGTCCAATTTCGACTGAGAGGTCAATCGACGGATTCAACTCGGCTGGCCAGCGTTCGGGAATATAAAATACCAATATAATATATTATAAGAAAAAAGATAATATAATTCAATATATTATATTTTTAATATTACGTATATGAATATCTACACATAACGAATTAATCATTATGGTGTGAATGATAATGCTCTTTAACAAGTCTTTTAAATGTATACAATATTAATAAAACTTACACAAAACTAACAAATAATAAACATTAAAAATATTTAAATATATATTTACACTAAAATGAAAACATACTCATTTTAAAAAATGAAATTAAAATATCTTACATATACTATAATAATTAACAACTTATCAAATTATACCTAACAAACATCTTAACACATCTAGTTGGTTAACTAACACTTAGGGGTTATTGTACTGGGAGTTTGACTGCGCTTTGATTTTGGATGTACATATTAGTAAGCACCTATGAAATATTCTTACACTACCATCAGCTTTTTTAGTATTTTGTGCAACATTTTATATTCACATTTATACTTAATGTAAGTTCACAGATATGTTATGCCTACTCTAAGCACATATAACTTTTTTTATGTTTCTCAGTAAGTGAGTGTATATTCTTTTTTTAAATTTAATTTCTTAAACTACAACTTGCATACAATAAATATGAAACAAAATTCATAAAATGTAGTATTTTACTAACCTTTTCATCACTTTCTGCCAAGCAATGATCTTACTTTTATTAGTATTTGTATCAGTGTTTTTATTTTCTATGACGGATACAAACTCCTTCATACAACTTTTTAATAAACTCTGAAAGATAATATACAAAGTTAGATTACAAATTGTGACCATATAAACAGCAGTATTTAAGAAACACTATATAGTTTTAAATGTTTATTCTAGTAAATTATCTTACCTTTTCTAATGCATCCCAATTTGCAGACCGTTTTCTTTTGACAAAGTTTAAATTACTATTAGCCATTATTACAGAATTTGCGTTGTTTTTAACAGTATAGTAGCTATTAACGAATTATTAAACCCAAACAACAAAATTGACGAATGACGATTGAATTGGAAACTGTCTGAAAGGTACGTTCATAAACTTATGAGGATAATAAATATGGCTTTGTCAAAATAATGTTCAGTTTTTATCGCCTAAAAACATTAGATTATTTCTAAATTCAATTAAACAATGTTTTGGGCTAAATTTATGTGTCATTAACTACAAAAAGAGAATTTATAAGCTATTTATGTGTTTTCAAAATGTCTCTACAATTTTACAATTGAGTTTCAAAACGTTTTTGATGAATGTTGCCAATGGTTTTTGTTTTAGCGAGTTTATAACTATACAACGGTTATACACCCGTTATTGGTAAAGAGCGTGTGTAACTCTTACCCAAAGCTTATACAATGTATAAGTACACACTTGTTAAACAGATGTTTTAGATATTTTTATTGGTAAGACTGTTAATATTTAGTTCTCCATTATCCGGTAACTTTTTAGTTTTCATATGTAGATTATCTCTTTTTCTTATAAATCATACCACCCCTTTTGTTATCCATGGTTTGAGAGGTTGGTGCTTTTTAGTAATAGTTTTGATTTGGGAGTTCTGTTTAACCAATGAATAAAGTTTAGATAAAAGCTCAGTGGCTGAATTTATGTTACTAATATGTAGCACATCATGTCAATTTTCTCCCAGCAGTGTTGATCCTTTCATAAATAACGGTTATTTTTTATATTTTAATATATCTTTACTAACACCAGCATTGTTTATGTATATAAAGCATTATGTATGAATGATCAGTTATTTTCTGTTCAAATACTATAGTTTTCCAAGAGTTATAAATTTTGACCATAAAATGATCAATGCAAGTATTGACTCTAGTAGGACGGTCAATACCTTGTTTTAAACCGTGCATAGCCATAATATTTAAATAATCTTGTGAGGATGCTGATAAGTTACATGATAGAAAGATCGAAGAATATCTAAGTTAATATCACCAGTAAATATTACATTTTTAGTTGAGATACTAGTTAAGACCGCGTCAATGGATTCTAAATATTTACTATCTACTTCTAATACTTTTAAATAATTACGAAAACTAGGCGGACGGTACGAGCATACGATTGTATAATCTTGCGAGATTTTTATTACAAGGCAGTTTCCATCGTGGAAGGTTGGCTCATAAGAGCATGCTTTAATTTCTTCTCGGACGTATACAACCACCCCATCAATTTGATTTAGATATTTTTTCGTCCAGATAATGTTATAACTTTTGAGACTTGGTAGTGGATTACTAACACTAGTCCAACATTCTGTCAAAACAAATGCTATAAATAGATCAAAGTTACAATGAATGCTTCGTATATTCAATGTAACAATTGAAAATGTGTGTTTACTGTTTATATCCGATTTTAAAAAATTAAGGCTGTTTAGGTCACTTAGTGAAAGACATTCTATCCTATTAGAGATATCAACTTCGGCTGTGATAAAAGAGTTATCATCCATTTCGAATCAAAATAGTAATGGGTTGCAGTGTACAATAATAATTTACATATTTCTGAAAAGTAAATATTTCAAAACAATAT